GCACTGTAGGTGACCTTATAACCAACCCGTTCATTTCCTACTTGGCCTTTTCGAGTCAATCGTGTGCTTTGTATGAAAATGGAATTCACTGCACCAGAAGAGGTGCTTTTCAATTGTCAAAGCACACGCCAAAATGTCAAAGCCACAAGTAGCCTCACGAGTATCGTAACCCCAAAATCGTTTGAATTTTGATTGACGGTAATAAAAAGTTGTGCAATTAGTTAAAATCTTGCTTATAGCCTTACAAGTAAACAAAAACAAAACCCTCTGAAACATCACTTTTATTTTGTGCCCTGGACTTGAACGATGAGAATCAAAAATCCCCAAATTCCCCCATAAAATATTCAAAAATTTCTCCCACTTTTCATTTTTGATTATGGCAAATCTTTGATTCTCAGGGTTCTTTCATTTTCTTTTTTCAAAGATCCAATAATTCCCTAGCTCTTCTTTTTCCAAAAAGGATCATTCTTTCACACAAAGCCATTCTCAGCTTAAATCCAATTTTTCGAAAAGATTTTTTGAGCAAATTTGAAGTAGGATCCAATTTGCTTATAATTTTTTAGGATAAATGGCAAGCAAGTGATTTTGTGGTGTTTTTGGGGAAATAAAACTTTGACGATCAAATTATGGAGGGGAGGAAGACGTCAACGGTTATGGGGGAGTGATTGGAGAAGGAAATGAGGAAAGCTATAGCTTTTGAACATTAGCTGCGAAGTTCTTTACTGAATTTTAAATCCCTGGCTAGTGCAGGAGTTGTTGTTTCTCTGTAATGGGTCAGAAAATTTAAGTTCATGTGCCATAAGATAAGCCAGGGTTATTCTTGTAAGCGAAAAGCCAGGTCAAGGTCAAGCCGGGCCAGTTCAGGTCACACTAGACCATGAAAAGCTACAAGTTTTTTCAAAATTTATTTTGAAAGTTTTTTTAAGCGCTTTCACATGGTCAGTGCTGGCCTTTATGGGCCTGGTGTGGTCTCCAAAATCTTAAACTATTTTAGGCCTAGTTCAGAGCAATCTATGATCTATGAAAAGTTGGAGGACTTAAGTATGGCCCGGCCTCGACTCGCCTGGAATAGACAGACCATGGGTATAAGCTGATTGTGAAGCTAAAGCTGTGAAGCTAAAGCTGTGAAGCTAAAGCTGTGAAGCTAAAGCTGTGAAGCTAAAGCTGTGAAGCTAAAGCTGTGAAGCTAAAGCTGTGAAGCTAAAGCTGTGAAGCTAAAGCCGAAGCCTGCCTGAAGCCAAAGCCGGAAGCCAGCCGTGAAGCTAAGCCGTGAAGCCAGTGAAGCCAAAGCCTGAGCCAAGCCGTGAAGCAAAGCTGTGAAGCCAGCGTGAAGCTAAAGCTGTGAAGCTAAAGGCGTGTGAAGCTAGAGCTGTGAAGCTAGAGCTGTGAAGCTAGAGCTGTGAAGCTAGAGCTGTGAAGCTAGAGCTGTGAAGCTAGAGCTGTGAAGCTAGAGCTGTGAAGCTAGAGCTGTGAAGCTAGAGCTGTGAAGCTAAAGCTGTGAAGCTAGAGCTGTGAAGCTAAAGCTGTGAAGCTAGAGCTGTGAAGCTAGAGCTGTGAAGCTAGAGCTGTGAAGCTAAAGCTGTGAAGCTAGAGCTGTGAAGCTAAAGCTGTGAAGCTAGAGCTGTGAAGCTAGAGCTGTGAAGCTAGAGCTGTGAAGCTAAAGCTGTGAAGCTAAAGCTGTGAAGCTAGAGCTGTGAAGCTAGAGCTGTGAAGCTAGAGCTGTGAAGCTAAAGCTGTGAAGCTAGAGCTGTGAAGCTAGAGCTGTGAAGCTAGAGCTGTGAAGCTAGATGCTTTAAGCGCAACACTATATGCCACATCCTGTGCTATCATATTTTTCTCTTAAAAGACTCTAGGTTGAAAAAGTGTTGAATGTTTTTCACTGCTTTCTGATCGCTAATCCCCCCGCCCCGCTAGAAGTAATCTTTAATTTCTAGCAATTTTTTTATCATGAAAAAACATAATAAATCCCATCCAGATCCCTCTCTTCGGCACTCATTTCACCCAATGATCTTTTTCCTTTTAATCCCAGAGTATCGGATCCAAAACACCATTGACCATCAACAAAAGAAGTTGAATTTTGTCTTAATAAGTATTTAAAAGTTTATTGGTTATTGGAAAGGTTATTGGAAAGGTTATTTGAATTTATTATTGGTTTATTAAAGTTTAAAAAGGCATTTGTTTATTTTGGGGATCTTTTGGAGTCTTTTCAGAGTTTTATGAGAATTTTGTAACCATCAGAATCAAAATTTCTTTTTGTAAATGATAATCTGAAAATTCTACATTTCTTTTCGATTGCTTTACTTTTTTTTGTTTAGAATCTAAATGAAAATTCTTTCAGTGGGTCCCCAGATACGTACGAAAAAATACAAGAGAGTATGAATTCGACACTCGTCTTCCTTTTGTGCACACTTGCCGCCGCCGTTCTCGCTCAACAGGTAAATCGACGTTTTCTAAATCGAGCCAATTTCTTTTCTGTGTTCGTTTTTTTTTTGAAAAGCGTTTACTATTTTGTAAACTACCGTAATCCTGTCTCGAGTTTTTATCGTAGTCAAGTAACTTGTTTGTAAGTAACTTGTTTTCTAAATCTTGTCATCTTTCGTGTCAGCTTTCGGAATCTATCGTAGTCTTGTCTCTTAACTAATGTATCTATATTCTAACTAATATATATATATATATATATTCTAGCTAATGTATCTATATTCTAGCTAATGTATCTATATTCTAACTTAACTAAATGTATCTATATTCGGTATGATTTGGAAGGGTATAACTGCTTAAAAATAAAAAATTTCAGCTAACAGACGAAGATCCATCAGCTGAGAAACGAATGCGCTCATTCGCTTTCGCCAAGAGAAGTCCGATGAGGTAAAAAGGGAAAATAAAAAAGATTTATTAAAGAGAAATTTTCTTCAAACTTCAAAAAAAGAGATTTTAAATTTCTAGATTTGCATTCGCAAAGCGATCCCCAGTTGATGAGGATGATGAGGAGATCGACGAGGAAAAGAGGGCACTTCGAGGTTTCGCAAAAAGGTAAATGATTGTTATTGAATCATTGCTCAAAGAGGCTTATTTTATCAATATCAATAATTCTAAAATTGAAATCCGTCAACCTTCCAGGGAATCTATTCATTGTGAATCTAGATTGAAACTTGAATCTTATTAGGTTGTAAACTAATTTTGTAAACCGGACTTTCGCAAAAAAAAAAGCGCAAGACGCAAAAAGCAATGAATAGATTCATTGTGAATGGATTCAATGAATAGATTCATTCTAATTCGAAAGGTATCACTTTTATCAATAACTTGTTCCCATCTTCGGCACAAATCCCTAATTCCATGCTCAAAAAAACTGAGGAGTCTTAGAAGGGAATGGCCAGAAGGGAATGGCCAGAAGGGAATGGCCAGAAGAGAATGGTCAGAAGGGAATGGCCAGAAGGGAATGGCCAGAAGGAAATGGCCAGAAGGGAATGGCCAGAAGGGAATTCTCGTTGTAGAGTTAGGCAGCTAATTTTTTTTGTTCATTTTCATCAATATCCATGATGAGATCTATCGAATGAGGTAACACTCATCTCAAACGGTCACATTCACTTCTGGCCATTCACTTCTTAGATGAAAAAGTAGATGTTGAGTGCTTTTATGACTTGAGCATGACCATCAAACTTTTCTTCCTCCAAGAAGTGTTTCAAGAGAAAGAAGTCAGAAGGGGCTAAGTCAAAACTTTCCAAATGAGCTCATCGAGTTTTCGGTGAATCCCTCTATAGTCTATAGTTCTCCCTTACGTCAGAAAATTGGTGCTTCTCTTATTGGCTCTTTTGAGAGGAGCGCAAACGCAAAAGTCCGGTTATTTAGTTTACAACCTAATTATAAAGTTTGTTCACTCTCAATAGACCTTTTAATCAAACTTGAGCACAATTTTCCGGGTTGACGTCAAACGATCTAAACTTACACGTGAAAAAGTTAAGCAATATCCATTATGCAAGCTCTTTTCCTTTTCTCCCCGAAAAATCACGGACTCGTTGATCTCGTTCCGATGTATGCAAATTGGTCAAAGGGGAGGGCTCTTGAGGAAGGAAGTTACTCGAATCATTTAAGAGTTTAATTTCCCACTTCTAAGAAAGTACTAGACTTGAACGATTGCTAAAGTAACAATAAAATAAAATTTATATTTATTATTATTTATAATTTATACATTATAAAATAAAATTTCAGATGGCCAGCCCGTCAATTCGCTTTCGCCAAGCGAGCCTACAATCGATTTGCTTTCGCTAAACGAGGCGGATTCAACCGATTCGCCTTCGCTTAGAGTGTAGAATTGAGTTGTATGACACCAAAAGTTGTAATTTCTTGCTCTTATTGTTTTCTTTTGCATGCGTATCACTCGATCCTCGGCTAGGCTTCGTTGGGAATTGTGGTTGTTTTGATTTTGTGGCGAATTAGTAAATTGTGATCCTAATCTCTTTAAACACCAAAAAAAATAATGTTTTATTATTCGGACGAGACGAGAAATAAAACAAAGGCAGTACCTTGACGACATTTCAAAAACAACCAAAAGCTTGCCACTCATCAAGGTACGATAAAACCTATAAACAAAACCATGCTCCTAGCAAAAACCCGATATCAAGAATATTCACGTAGCGCGAAAAGTAGAAAACAATTGAGACACCAAAAACAACAATTCCACACAAATGAAAACCCGTAACAATGAACCAATTTCAGAAAAGGAAACGTTGACCTGCATGAATTATAATGTAGTGGATAATATTGAGCGGAAGGAGCTTGAAAGCAAGTCGGAGAATGGCAATCATAGTGCGTATAAAAGAAAGGCAGTATCCAAAAAATGTTGAAAGCGCGATAAAAAATGTAAAAACAATCGTTACGAGAACTTTAGGGCTAGATGAAAAAGCGGATTTGGACAAGGCCAATCGCATAAGGTTGAATTCATAAAAATTAAGCATGAACGAGGGGTTAGTAGCTACAAGATAGAACTAATGAGAAAAAAACTAACAGGCAGTCGAGATAATTCCAGAACGTTGATTGGACGAAGTAGGAGAATTTCTATCACCGTCCTGTGGCTCAAGCGGTGGTGTTCGAACGCGGAATGAGTGCTCGTTCACAATGTTCTTCATCTCTTGTAGAATATCGACAAATTTCGTTTGCAGGAATGGCGTAGATCCTAAAAAGCAGGTATAATTGTCAATTTCAGCCTTGCAGTTGCTCAGAACTTTAAACCCCAAAATAATTTCAAGATCCGCATAAAATAAATATTACTGGATTGAATATTGAACAACTTAAAAACTAACCCAAATTCATCGAATCCTCCAATCGATATGTAGCCATATGTTTGCTCTCGTCAATCAACGTGAAGAGCATCGAGTTTCGTCCATCAAACGGACAAATTCCTTGGGTTGGCGGCGTCAATATAACTTTTACGTGACGATTGGTGAAGTTGACCTGAATCGACTATTATAAAAGCTCGCGAGCAAGACTCATACCTGGACTGTTCCATTTGATAACAACATGAAGACAAAGTTATCCCTTTTCGTTTCATAGGCAAGATAGGGCAACTCTCCGTTCGGCATCATTTGTCTTTTCCAAGAGTCTCGAATACTAAAAACAAAGTGATTAATGAATTTGTCGGATGATGGTTTGGCTAACTAAAAACGTGCAAAACTAAAACTACAAAAAGGCCACACAAAACTAAGCGTACCCGTTTTCTTCACTATAATTTTGTTGTACGTCGTGCCTATACAAAAATCTCATTAGAACAGTTTTCAGATTTTACAAGATGTTAAGCACTTACAGGTCATCATTAACGGATGCTCCGGTCAATTCCTTCTCCATGTATGATCGATAAACATTTGCAATGCGAACTTTCTCAAAAATGTCCGAAGATGCCGATTTCACATTATGTTGTCTGATATTTGAAGAGAAAGTTTTGTCGCCATAGCGCGCCATTGTGAAATCATCGCTAAAATAAGTTTGAAAAGAAAAGTTTAAATTAAATACCTAACAGCAATCAAGCTATCATCATTGAAATGCACGGAGACAGTCCCATCCGAGAGAATACACCCGAAGCCGTACTTATTCGTGTAATCAACCCATTTCGAAACATAGAGAAGAGGAACTAAAATAAACATTGATTTACTAAAAAGATGCAAAAACCAACCAAATGGAATTTCAACCAAGTAGGAACTTTGCTTGAGAAGCAGATTCAACGTGTGCACGTAAAGTTCAAGCCTTGAAGCAATGCTATTCCGAGGACTGAGCAAATGAGGGTCAGAGCCAAGTCCCGAATCGTGGAAAGAAGTTAGACGCGGAGCCATTACCTACAATGAGATCATAAATATATTGCACACAACACAAATCCTACCCCAATCGATCCCATTTCATTTGCATATGCGGTTGAAGGGCGTTGATCTTCATAAGGGTCCGAATCAGCGTATTCGATTGCATTCACATCATGTGTTTGCGGAGCATAAGCCGGGGAGTACCAATGCCAGCGATCCGGCTGATGTGGACTAATTGCTTGTCGTCCATTGCAGTCGTGACGAGCTCCGTTTTGTTGCACTCTAGAACCAAAAGTTTAAACCTTAGCAACATGATTTTACCTCTGAGAATTCAAAGACAACGATGATAGAGCATTCGAATTTTGATCTACTATATCGCTTTGTTCATTTTCCACGTATTGTTGATAGTAGAGAGATGTTTTGATTCCGGCAACGGTTTCCCTATTTGCGGGATCAATTCTGAGCAGTCTAAAGTTTAATAGGTGCTAAAACAATTTGAAAAAGAAAACATACCTATTTACAAGCATCACAGCTCTTTGTTCGACATTGTTCTTTCCATCGATCGTTGGCCATGAAAATTCGCCTCTCATAATACGATTGTAGGTTTTTTGGAGGTTATCTAAAAAGAAAAGAGATATGATAAACAACATTTTGAAATACCAGTTTCAAATGGAGGTCTTCCGATGAGCATGCAGTAGAGAATACATCCAATTGCCCATGCTTCTGATGCTTCGGAATGGCCTCGACGGTGAAGGACTTCAGGTGCAAGATAATTCGGCGTTCCAGAAATACTAGATAGTCCAGAAGCACTTCGATTTGAATGACCACCCTTAGAGACCGCCAAGCCAAAATCGCCCAGTTTCACGTGACTGAATCTTTGATTAAAACAAAACTTGTAGTCAACACTGACTTTCCATCCAGGAAAATATTTCCCGGCTTAAGGTCTCGATGTAGAATTCCTTTCGTGAAAAGATACAAAACGGCTTCCACAATTCCTCGTATGTAGATGAAGGACTCGTAAGAACTTAAGCAACCACCTGAGTTACAGTTAGTAAACGAAATGAATTTAAAGCAAAACCTCTTCCATTGTAGATCCGATTGAGGAGCGTTCCGTCAGGACATAACTCCAGCAAAATGTAGATGTTGAAATTATCTTGGAAATATCCACAAAGCTTTACGATGTTCGGATGGGAGCAACCACTAGATATTAAACATTATAGGGAACAATTTTTCTAGTTCAAACCCATGCAATTGAATCTCACGATGAAGCTTCTCATATGCTGATGTTCGACTGAGTCGTGATCGTTCAACCACCTAAACACTAGAAATTCGAAGACGGATCATCAAAAGCAAACCTTTACAGCATAGTATTCATCTCTCGTTCCTTCTTTCCTATATCGCCAAACAGCAGCAAAGCCACCCTAAAGAAAAGCGTACAATAAAACCAAGATCATAAACTCACTTTGCCAAGATATACGGGATTGAGATAGTTGACGTAGTTGTACGTGTCGCGAATGATCGGCGGTGGGAGGGCCGTCGGTGTTGATGGACGACTACTCTTGTGGGCTTCCGGCGGCGATGGAGAGACCTAAAATCAAGAAAATTAATTGAATTTAAACCCAAAACTAACCACGCGTCCGCCGCGCGCGACAAAATCCGGAAGTGACGGCAGGTCGGCGAATTTTTGTTGACAAATGCAATACACCGAATCTGTAAAAAGAAGCGATTAGTGAAAGTAATCAACGGATAAAACACAAAGTAGAAAGCATTGGTGAATGGGGTAAAAAAAATTGGAGGTTGGTTCTAAAATCAAAGTTTGCAAATGAAATGTTTCTATGCTAATTTCAAGTCTGGTTTAGACAAAACAGAAAGTTTCCAAAAGCGAACAATCGCGTAGAATCTTTTTTTATTCGACCACTAGAATCTGATAACGGAGATCGTTCACGGATAACACACACAATTTCTCTTTCCACCGACACCATGACTCAGACGTTTCACGGGTGATTGGGAAAAGATTTAAAGGACTGAAAGAAAATAAGCCTTCAAAATAAAAAAACTTATTTTTGAAAGAAATAACAAAAAATTGAGCTATCTTTGGAACATTTTGGCGAAGAAAACAGGGAAATAAACATCAACAGTTTGTGTTATCAAAAAGAAATCACCAGCTGGCGAAGGAATATGTTTGGGTGTTTGCAGAGAATCGTAAAAATTTTGAATTTTTGGTGGATAAGTGGTCAAAGGTTAGTAGGAATTCGATTTTTGGTGAATGTTCTTAAGATCGATGTACATTGGCACAAGTTTAAGGCACTGAAACTGAAAAGAAGTTCTCCTTTTACTTGTTAGCAAAGCTTACGTTGCTGTCAAAGCGCGATTGGCAATAAAACGGTACGGCAATAAATAAAAGGGTGAAAGATCACATAAATTTTTAAATAAATCGTAATAGAATTCTTTTACGCTGTCTAATGGTCAGTCCAAATGTGAAAATGATCGCTGATCAAATTTTATCAGTTTGAAAAAAATGAAATACTAAAAACTTTTGCGACTACGCGACTGTACGAGTCGGGTGGGGTACTATTACAGTATTTATTGTAGGTAAGTGCAAGGAGTGAGTTGTAGTCAATCTTTTTTGAATGGAATCTAAAGATACCTATTCAAATCTTCAAGATTTTACAGGTTAACTCAACTCAAGCCTCGTGCAATTGCCGGAAAACTTTTTGCAAAAAGAACAAAACTGAAGTTGAATGCGGTACTCGAAACTCTTGGAATGATCTAGGAAATTCAAAGAAAACCCTCGATAAAAGCGCGAAATCAATGAGTCAACACAGCTGATTTTCAAGATAGTCAGGGGGAAAGTGGAAAAAAGGAAAGGGGATCGGTCGGTGTTCGTGACTCATTTCACCGTCCGACACAAGCGATTCATGAATTTTTTCTCAAGCATTTCCTAGTTGTGTTTTTACGTTTTCCCTCCCCCACCTTCACAACAACCCACTCATCGATCAGAAAATAGATTTTCAATCAGTGAATTGTATGGGAAGCAAAGGAAAAACATTTGATCAATGAATCGAAGCGATACTCAAGGGTTCATTTGGGTAAATTCGGTACACAATTGAATATGTCCGTCCCTCCCAGCTAATGTGCTTTCTAAAAAACATCTATAACTTATAATCACTGTAATCCAACCACCAGTTTCATTCGATCAGCTTAATCAGCCTAATTTTGATATTATTCGATTAGGAATCACAAGGCACAACCAATGATATCAAAATTGGGCTGGTCAAATGTAAATTGGTGGTTTGATTACGTTAGTTTTTTTTCGTTAGGTTTTTTAATCTCTTAAAAAACATAGGTGTCAATTTTCTTAAACTTCTTGAAGAGTTGAAGATTTCAAAGCAAGAGAGTAATGAAAAAGGAATCGAGTCGTTTTCAAAACAAAAACCCACTCAAACAGTTACTGTGGAATATAAATAACATAGAAAGTAAAAGCTAAAGATTTTTAAAAAAGTTAACTGATCCAAATTAGTTTTACAGGTTTACTCAAGAAAAAAACAAGAAAAAAGTACGGATCTGCTACACAAATTTAACATCATCTGAATTCTCGAGACGAAGCTCTATGCAAATACACATCAACAAATAGATATAATAAAAGTGATTGGTGAAAAGGATCCAAAAAAGGCGATAGAAGACGATAGCAAAGTGGTGGACTATACGAATTTGTGTACAGTGTTTGAAAAGAAGTGAGAAAAGAAGAAAAAAGATTGAGAGAGGTAAGAGATTGAGGAGAAAAGGAGAAGAAAGAGGCTTCACTCGGTGTTCCTTCGAAGCTTTTCTTCTTTTTTCCATTCATCTTCCCCCGTTATGGCTTATCAGTGTGTCCGGTGAGGAAAAACGCTGGAGACGAGTGCGGAGTGTGTGAGAGAGCAGGGTGAATGCAAAACCCGCACTTAAACTATCTTTAGAGCCAATTAACTCGGCTTCTCTTGATTCGAGAGCAGATTTTTTTGGGAGTAAAATATTCAAGAAGTCCTTTTCTTCATTTTGAAATAATCCGGATCAGCTGATGATTTTTCTAAAGTAAAGTACGACTGGGCAGGACGACTGGTACGACTGGCAGTAAAAAACGACTGGCCCAGTAAAAAATTTTGTAGAGAACACGATTCAAAGACCAAAATGAACAGGTTCTTGATTTGAATTTGCTTGAATTGAATCTGTTGATGATTTAAGTTAGCAAATTAGCAAAAATGAGGGATAGCAAATTTCGGAAAGGCAAATGATCCCGTTTAGGTACAATTTGGCACGCATAGTACTCATGAGTAAGACCCAATTCTGGTGGAATTGGATATGTGTCGATGTATTAGAAAAATTAGAAACGAGCGCTTGAAAGTTCAGTCACATTAACCAGTTCAAAACTGATTGGAAAACCAGTGTTGAACTGGTATAAGTTGTGGAAAACGATTTGTCAAATAGCAAAAATGAGGGATAGCAAATTTCGGAAAGGCAAATGATCCCCTTTAGGTACAATTTGGCAGGCATAATACTCATGAGTAAGACCCAATTCTGGTGGAATTGGATATGTGTCGATGTATTAGAAAAATTAGAAACGAGCGCTTGAAAGTTCAGTCACATTAATCAGGTTCAACACTGGTTGAAAGTGGTGGACTATACGAATTTGTGGTGAAAAACCAGTGTTTTTCAGCTAAACAAATGAAAGAATTAGCATAAAAAAGATATAAGTTGTGGAAAACGAATAAAGAACTTCATTTTGATGAAAAGCAAAAGAAGATCGGCGCGAACGATTTTCTCACACATGGTTTCCGCCCCATTTGGTCGATCGGCATAGAAGGGGTATCGGGGAGAGAAATCGACAGAATGGTTATGTGTGGAGAAGGATCAAGAGAAGTGAATAGAGAACAAATGACCTCCATCTATCCATCTATGAGCACTTCATCGAAATTTCAAGCAATCCATTGGGGACAGGGAACTCATTGAGAACTAACCTAGAAAGAACTGGTTAGCTGAGTTGGATAGTTAGAATAAAATCTATATTACCGTATCACTAACAGCAGAACTTACATTTTCGATTTCATGAATAAGTATCCAGCGTAAACAGTAAAGAGAAAGCTGCGGGATGGGATACTGTAAGATCCTAGGCGCCTAAAGTATTTTAGATCCTACAATAACTATAGTATTTTCGAGTATTCCGGCTCTAACACTGTTTGTCTTTAGCACATTGCAGAGTTTGAGAGACATTCAATTTAGTGGCCAAATATTTTTACTGAATCTCAGATATACTGAAGTGAGAAAGCTGAAGAATATTGTAAAGGCTGATCTCTACAGAATGAATATCTTTAGCTCAACTACAGACTGAATATCTTTAGCTTAACTACAGAATAAATATCTTTAGCTTCATTTGCAGAAAAAGATAATCATTTACCGGAATACCCAGGTATACTGTAGTCAGACAAGAGGCCTCAAATAAGCCTTCTTAATTTTAATCCACTAGAAAACTAATCAATGACTTTTGAGGGTTGATTATAAAATGAAAGGCGCGTTTCCTTCCTTTTTTTTCTTTTTCAGTTTGCCTAAGCACGCCTTTGTCAGTTTTTCTATCAAAAAAGAAGCAAAATGATAGAGTGTCAAGTGGAAATGAAAAGAAATGAGGAAAAGAAAGCAAAGCTTCGGAAAGATCATCGGAAAAAAGTAGGGGAAAGTTCAAGCAATGACTTTATGCAAACTGAACTCGGTGAAAGTGATGGGAAAAAGGAAATCAAATGGGGAATGATACCTGGAAGACATGATTATACAAAGAAGGGAAATGGGATGAGGCTGACAGTGACATTGAGCGTAGAAAATGTGCAAAGCTTTAGTTCTCAAGTTCTAAACTCTTAGTTCTAAACTCTTAGCTCTAAACTCTTAGTTCATAAGAGTGTTTTTCTAAATTTGGTATTTTCTTTCAAAAACCATCGTAATCTTGCTTTTCTGATTAGTTATTATTTTTCCCTTTGTTTAGCCTCACAGAATTAACTGGTAAAGATTACAAAAACAAATTCTATATTTTTTTACCCAAATTTAATGTAGATTCTAGAAAAAGTAACCCTGAGTTGTTCAACTTTTACTCTTAGTTATGCCATTTATGGTGGGGCCTTTCAGGTGGTAGTCGACTTTGTCGGTTTTCTCTTGTTTTTACATTGTTTACTAAGTGTTGTGGTTTTTATACGTTTCTATGAATATTTAAACCAACCCGTTGTCGGTCAATTGGAAGTTGGTTGGGGGAAGGGGTCGTCAACTCCGTTCTCTACCCCCTAGACACTCTCGACTTTGCCCTAGTTTTCTTTGTTTTTTCGGTAGTCTATAAACAATTCTTTTTCTTCCATCAAATTTTGTAGTTCTAAAAGTCCCTGGTTGTTCCTTTTACATCTTCCTTACAGTCATTTGTGGTCGCCCCTTCGGCGCGTCTGACTTTGTGTTTTCCTATGTTTTTCATTGTGTGTGTATATTGTGGTTTCTATCGAATTTCGTAGGACATTTTGACTATCACAGTCGTTCGACAATTAGAGTCGAGATTGGGGAAAGAGAAGGTTGTTTACCCCAATATTTTGGGTCGACAATAATGTAAACTGGTTTCCTTGTCGACGACTTGCCTGAGGGTCGTCCACTTTGTCTGTAATTCAGTGTAGTTGATCTTCGGGTTCTTTTACCAGAATCATCTGGTAGAGATTACGATAGCTTTTGAAAGTTATACATTTTAGAAATTCAAGTTCTAGTCTTGTATCAAAACTAGTTTAGTAATCGTTCTTTTGTTTTTTTAAACTTTCATTATCATTTATTAACACTCAGATCAAATATAGGTTACAGTAGCTTTTAAAGTTGACACTTTAGAAGGGTTTCTTTCGTTTTTCTGTTTTACTTATTAAAAAAAATCATATCTAAAGAATTGAAATAGTTGAGAAATAAGATTAATATTTAAATGTATACCTACTCATTTAAAACTTTAAAACTCATACTCATTTAAAAGGGTAGCCGATTCCGGTTCCTCCCATCCATCCCTCTTTCGGGGGCAATCCATTCTATCCAATTGTGCGATTGATTGCCCTTCCTCCTTCACCAAATGATGCTTTTTAGGGAATGGAAAAGAGATGCCATGACATGAAAGGGAAACACACAATTGCACTGATTTGAACACCCCCGTCCATCCCTCTCCATCTATGAGTTTCTTGCCGCCAAGTAAAGATTTATTATAGTGAGAAAAGCTGCTAAAGTTTAGATAGAAGCTAAATATATTGTAAAATCGACGAATATATCAGTAGAGCTCAACAAAAAAAGTTAAAAATCGTCAATAAACAAGCCACTACAGGGTGCGGCAAAAGTTCTGACACTTTTTCTGTAAGCAGTAATTTTTTTGGCTTCAAAAAGCCGTGAATTTCAAAAAACTAACGCCGGATTCTAAAAATTTAGGTAGTTTCACCCCAATATAGCCATTTTCATAAAAAGATTTCAACTCTCAATAACTTTTTGACGAGAATTTTTCATATCCCGGTCTGGTCGCTGAAGATTTTTGCGAAAGCTGACTTAAACTTTGCAGAATGAAATTTTTTCCAAAAACTGCTGTTACCATTTGATAGAACTGAGTTTTTTTCTTGAAAACAAGCCACAAAAAAAACTTTATATCTCAAAAACGAAAGATTTTCAAGCGATTCTACGAAGGGCACCCAAATCTCAACAGCAAAAAAAACTGCTGTAACGACCTTTAAACATCCTCATCAAAAGGTTGTTTAGATGGCAATTTTTGTGTAAAAAAGTATATTAGGGGGTAAAAATATCTGAATTTTTATAATCCGGTGTTAGTTTTTCAAAAATCGCGCTTTTTCCAAGTCAAACTGCCCGTTTACAAAAAGTGTCGGAACTTTTGCCGCACCCTGTAGATAAAAGTCATAGAGTATATTAGAAGAAAAGACTCATAACTTTGAGATTCCATTAGCGATTCGAGGCAAACGAA